TTTCAAGAAAAATCAGTTATCTTGGAAAGCTGGGAAGAAAAACAAAGGAACATAATCAATGAAAGGTCTAGATGCGTGTGCGTTAGATCTAGAGATTGACTGATTTCCTTGAGATTTCCCCCGAGCTTTTAAGATTTCCCTTGATTTTCTTATGAGTTCCCCTAATTTGTATACTAGATTTCTCTTGTGGTTTACCCTTGAAAGGTTTATTGACCCCTTTTATCGTAAAATTGCATTCTACAAGGCCAATAAGAATGCACGATTAGAAGAGGTAGATGTTGCGTCGTGATCATTGATCAATCTGATCACAATTCAGTGTAAAATGCTTGCCCATGGAAAATCGAGAGGTTGAACCATGTCACAAGATAAAGTCCAGATTATGGAATCTCATGACGTGAAAATCAATAAGTACTCAAAACAAGATCTAAGATTTCAAGACAATCAGTTCTCTTGGAAAGCTGGGAAGAAAAACAAACAAAATCATGGAAAGGTCTAGATTCGTATGCGTTAGATCTAGAGATTGACTGATTTCCTTGAGATTTCCCCCGAGCTTTTACGATTTTCCTTGATTTTCTTATGAGTTCCCCTAATTTGTATACCAGATTTCTCTTGTGGTTTACCCCTGAAAGGTTTATTGACCCCTTTTATCGCAAATTGCATTCTACAAGGCCAATAAGAATGCACGATTAGAAGAAGTAGATGTTGCGTCGTGATCATTGATCAATCTGATCACAATTCAGTGTAAAATGCTTACCCATGGAAAATCGAGAGGTGGAACTACGTCACAAGATAAAGTCCAGATTATGGAAGCTCATGACGTGAAAATCAATAAGTAGGTACCCAAAACAAGATCTTAGCTTTCAAGAAAATCAGTTCTCTTAAAAAGCGGGGAAGAAAAACAAACAAAATCAATGAAAGGTCTAGAATCGTATGCGTTAGATGTAGAGATTGACTGATTTCCTTGAGATTTCCCCCGAACTTTTACGATTTCCCTTGATTTTCTTATGAGTTCCCCTAATTTGTATACTAGATTTCTCTTGTGGTTTACCCTTGAAAGGTTTATTGACCCCTTTTATCGTAAAATTGCATTCTACAAGGCCAATAAGAATGCACGATTAGAAGAGGTAGATGTTGCATCGTGATCATTGATCAATCTGATCACAATTCAGTGTAAAATGCTTGCCCATGGAAAATCGAGAGGTGGAACTATGTCACAAGATAAAGTCCAGATTATGGAATCTCATGACGTGAAAATCAATAAGTAGTTACCCAAAACAGGATCTAAGATTTCAAGAAAATCAGTTCTCTTGGAAAGCTGGGAAGAAAAACAAACAAAATCATGGAAAGGTCTAGATACGTATGCATTAGATCTATTAGAGATTGACTGATTTCTTTAGGATTTCCCCCGAGCTCTTACGATTTTCTTATTTGTATACCAGATTTCCCTTGGGGCTTACCCCTGAAGGGTTTATTGACCCATTTTATCATAAAATTTCGTTCTACAAGGCCAAGAATACACGATTAGAAGAGGAAGATGTCACGTGGTGATCATTGATCACAATTTAGTGTAAAATGCTTGTCCATGGAACCAATCAAGACAACGTCTCAAGATATAGTCCAGATTATGGAATCTCATGACGTGAAAACTACCCAAAACAAGTCTAAGATTTCAACAAAATCAGTTCTCTTGGAAAGCTGGGAAGAAAAACAAACAAAATCATGGAAAGGTCTAGATGCCAAGCTGGCAAAAAAACGGATACATGCAAAAAATAAGAAATGCCGAGGAAACTTTTGTCTATGCCAGGCTCTTGATGATTTTTTTCCTTCTTCTCTCAATTGCTCTTTAAAAACTCAATAATCGAAGAAACTTTTGTCTATTCCAGGTTTTTGATTTCCCCTTTTTTTCTCAATTTCTCTTTAAAAATTAATAAATAGCCTCGGAAGTTTTTCATATCTAGAAAAATTCCTCTAAGTCTTCAGGGCCTTTGAAATCTCTAGAACTTGTCTTTGACAATCCATAGATTCTTTGTTGTTGTGCCGTCAAAAAATTTCCATTCTTTGGTTTTTTTATTGGTTCTTAGACTTTTTGTCTTTCAATGAATAATGGAGCTTTTTAAAGTCTTCAAAGTTGAGTTAGAATTCTCAGAAAGTCTTTACTTGGTTCAGACTCTAAAGAATATCAAAAATTATCGAATTTTTAAGCTCTTAATGTTGAATTTTGGATCTACGAAGATCAGAAATGATCTTTCAAATTAACAAGAAATTGACTGACAGGCATGCCTGGATTAACGGGGAGGCTAAAGGGGCTAGAGCCCCGGGCCCCGCGGTCTAGAAGGGCCCCGCAGTGGCCCTACTTTTAAAAAACGCACGTTGAGACGTTTGAGACGTTTAGGCTTATGCTGGTCAAGGGCCCGTGGGCAAACAATAAATAATAAATGCACTAGTCTTTCGCGTCATGTTTCGCAAAATTTCAGCCGAACAATTCAACTTATTTTTAGCAAAAAAACCTTTTCAAACACAGTGGCATGACCGGTTTTAGCGACACTTAGCGATTGTGCTAACTTGTCCTATAATTGTTACAGGTTAACATCAAGTTTCTCTTCCACTATATATAGTTTTTTTATATATTTTTTTTGCGGTCAACTTATAAGGGGCCCCCTAAAGCTTCACTAGCCCTGGGCCCCATGAAAGCTTAATCCGGCCATGCTGACAGGTAGAAATAAAATTATTTGTTTATTTCAGGCTCTTGAATTCTCTCATTTTAGGGAAATTTGAAGAATTTCAAGAGCCGGGAATAGACAAAAATCTAGAAGAAAAATAATGAGAATTGGAGAAAAAATTGTGGAGAAATTGGTTGACGAATAGAAGAAATATAAGTATTTTCTCTATCCGAGGCTCTTGAATTCTTTCAATTTACGGGAAATTCGAAAAAGTCCAAGAGAGTAGGTAAGTTTTTTTACACTTAGAGGAGATCATGGATGATTTCTCATGATTTTCCCTGTCTTCTTCTGATTACCAATAGGATTGCTCAAGAGTTCTCCTGATAGCATAACCTCAAATTTTACAGATTTTTGAAAACTGCGCATGCGTTAGATCTAGAGATTGACTGATTTCCACAATTTTCTATGATTTGCTACACTTTATTCATACGAGTGCATGTCTTATTCAAATTTATGTCACGATTTAATGTCGAAGGATAAAGGCCGAAACTCTAACTTTTTTCCTTTGTCCAGAGGCAGGTTTGATCCTCAGTTTTAGATTGTGCACAAGATTTTATCACATTTTTTACTACGGTTCGGCACCATTGTGGCTTGATTTCATCCTAAATTCATCCAATGAACTAAATTCATTATTTGCGAGATACTGAGTGTTTTTCTTTTTAAACTTTTTCAATTAATTTTGTCATCAACCTATGGTATTTTTCAAATTTATTAAACTCGTTAGTAATAATTGGCCAATTTATTCGCATTGGAATGCTTCTTATGCCTCAATTTATATTCCACGTTCTATTATCGATTTAAACTGGTAAAGCTTCTGAGAACCAGACAGGAATTTGGAGAATCGAACTTCTCTGTCCATAACTTAGTGGCGCCCAACCCTTACTCTACAAATTATTTTATTTGGAGGCCTTCAATCTTGATTGCCTATTTTCTCAGAATTAGTTGGCACAACGAAATTTACGTATTTTCTTTGTTAAAAATGGGCATTAAACATAAGAAAAAGTATTTTCTGAAGATATACCTAATAACTTTAAATCAAGTTGCTACTGCCAGAAAACATAGCAGGAAAGATTTGTCTGAACAGAAAAAACACATGGGAAAATTCAGTTTATAAAACCATACGAAATGAGAAGCAGATTTAGAGATTTTAGGGAACCTCTACTTAGTTTTACATACTACTAAAGAACGGGAAAGAGTACTGCTGCTGAAGAGTAAGAAGATTAGGGAGAACAATGTCCTGTCATCTTCCAGTGAATTATTATTTATATTTCCTGAAGTCATGTAAATAAAACCTTAATCATTCAAAGTATATTTGAATAACTTCAGCGATTTCGGAATAGAGACTAACTTAATTTAAAACCCAAAAAAATCCAATTTATGAGAAGTGGAAGTCAAATAAAATTTATAACAAGTGTTTTTTCCTAGTCACAAACTGTTTGTTTGTTGACAAGATTGAAAGTTGAAGTGGCTCCTGTGAAAATAATAACGTCCATTGATTATTTATCATATTTAGCTGGACAATTCAAGGCTTTCGAAAACTGTCACATGACCATATGAATATTGAGAATTTCTCAGCCGACTTTACAAATTGGCCCCCTTGAAAAAATATAAGATTCTTTATAGTTCTAATGATCAATAAGCTATAAACATGTCTACAAATCTCATCCCAACCCATCTTAATAGCATTAAATCCTTCATCCAAACAATATAAACTCTGTATCTTGGCTTAATGTGCCGCTTATTTCAATGCCATCAGTCGAATAATGCTATCAGATTTTCTAAATATAAAATCTGCGTTTGTATAAATAGAACTACTATTACTGCAAATAAACCAGATGTTACTCAACATAAACAACTTGTTAAAAAAATTGAATATTAATTATGGAAAAAAATAATTAATATTTGACATGATGGATTTATTTGCATAGATATCGCGAGCTTCAGTGCCTTCAGTCATGTTGGCAGAAATGAAATTATATTCTGTCCTTCATTTAATTGCGTGAAAAAAGTTAATTACCGTTGAAATATTTATCTTTCTCCACTCCATTACCCTTGTTCCAGTTTCTCAAGAAGGGTGTCATTTTGAATTTGTCAATTTTTCCTCTACAAAATGGAAATCATTTGACTTGTGCACATTGCCTTGAATTTCCATTATTTATGGTTGTTGGATAATTATAAAATTGAACTGTATTTAAAGAGATGGTTTAGGGTTGGCAAGCTCAAAGCTTTTTTGAAGAAACCAGTTTCAATTAGTAGCTCTTAAAACAACAAATTTCTTACCTCATCTCGAAGTCGCGGATCTCCTCCAAAGTTAAATTGTTTGCCACGTCCAAAAGTTGCTTCATATTTTCTTCCTTTTGAATCTTCAATGCGGCTAACTTAGCAGCATTAGCGTCATTAGAAGCGTGCACATTACCCAAGAAATCACTTCCGTTTTTGAGAAGGATGGTGGAGGTTATATTGGCGTGATCCAACGAAACTGATGCTTGTTGAACCTGGAACGAACATTTTGTAGAATAGTAGAACGTATTCAAAAATAGGATGAATATATAGATATTAAATAAACTTGAAGATATTATCATTTTCCAAGGTCTTGTTCCATTTCTTTTTTGAACTCACTTGATAAAAACTATACAATGACACAGACATTCAAAAATCCTTAGTGAAACTTATCAAATTTTTCACATTTGTTCAACTCTGGTAATTGAATAAAATAATAATAATAAAATTTGGCCAATCAAATCCAGCTAATTTGTCTAGTGGTTAAATGCCAATCAGAAGTGAAGTTTTGATATAATAGACTACAACCGAGAATACAACCCCTAATCAGTAGAAATTTGAAAATCTTGTTATATGGACAAGAATGTTTAGCTTTGACTGATCAAATGTGTCGACAGCATTTAGACACAAACACAAAGGACGAAGTATAAGCAAGGCATGAACAGGCTTCTCAATTATTTTTCTTTATGATAATGGATGATTTTTCAAGAAGGGTTTCTGAAATTACCTCAAGTCAACTCCAATTTAAAAGTTAAGTCTAGGATTGCTCTTTAGGCAAAGGAAAACGAAACTACTACACAACAAAACACTATTTACATTAAACAATGTAACACTTATCGTATCGAACTACTAGAAGTGAAGGTACTACTTTTACTAACCACGATTGTAGCCTGGGGGGCTTTCCGTCCGAAGTGCACTGGATTCTCCAATGGATTGGTCGTGACATTTATAGGGGAAGTGGCCGATCCAGGATTATTGGTGGCATCAAACTGGGCCCCCACCTCACGCAAACACTTATTCAGGCAGACGCTGCCGCGTTTTTCAAGTGCGGCCGCTGTCGCCGTCAACGAGTCTAGGATGCTGCTGCGACGGCGGTCAAAGGATTCACTGCAAAAAAATAAACAATGATTAATGGTGTTTCCAGGTTTGTTCAAGCAGTTTTAATTTTCATAGAAATTGTTGCAAGGGAATTCGCAATTTGTTAATCAGCTCAAACTGTGTAGTGTGGAGTGCTGATAAGTGAACAAGGGGGTTAACATTTATCCACTTTCAAACCACATAATCTTGTGACTGGTTTTGTTAATTAACTCAATTCGTATTTGAGGCTGTATGTTGATGGCTTCGTTTGGTAAATTCTTACTTGAAGTTTACATATCCATAGAACAAAAAATAAAATAATTATTTACACAAATATTGATTCCAGCCTAATTTGTGAAGATAGCATTACATTTTTCGAAAATCTGTCTTTGTTTAGAGAAGCCAGATAGAAGTAAGATATTGGATGTGGGATGACAGGATGGTGTTGAGGTACCTTCTTTACTTTACAGGAATTTTTTTCGGCTCTTGGAACAAACCTTATAATTAATATGAGGTTTAAATTAGAACCACAGTTTGTAAATGTGTCAAACGAAGTTGGTTTATTGGGCTTTTTCGGGTTCGTTGAGGTACAATGGCCTCTCACGTTTTCAATATTGGATAACGCTGTTTGAAAATTTGGCAAATTTAATTTTCATGAAACATGAAACTTTTATCAGGACCGATTTTTGTGATATAAATATTTTCTTGGCATTTGTTCAGCTTTTAATAATATTATTTCAGGTATTATCCTTATTTTTGTAAAAGCCTTTTTTTCTGCTTAAAATATCCATTAATTTCGTACCCAGTATATTTATTCAACACCATGACTCGCCGTGTTCTGTTTTTTTCAGTTTCTATGAACGACAAAATAATAACGATTTCTTGGTACTTACCTACATTACTTACGTTCTGCTCGGGCAGAAATCGGAACACGGATCTTTCCCAACATATTTTTAATGAATTTCCTAGTATATTAATTTTAGGTTTAAATTTAGCCTCATACTTAAACTAATTATAAAAATAAATGAAATGTTCCATATTACTCAGACAATGAATGAGCCAAACATTGAAATTTACTTGTATTATAAAATGTTACAGTCTTGAGAAAAAAACTACACCTCCGATATATGTCTGAATCCAAAGCTACAAGCTACAAATAATATACTAATTATAAGAAACTAATGAGGAGCACGTTTTATAATAAGAATTGTGCCTACCTTTCCAACTTTTCCATTAGAATGTTGCTGTTCATTTTATCTACTTGTGCATTCACTTGCAATAATGTATTGACACCAAATAATATAAATCCTTTATTATTTATAAAAATGCAGGTTATCAAGTATACCTACCACAAAAACAGTTTCTTTAGAAATATTTTCAAAATACATATTAGGTATTTATTTATTTGTTGATTGTGTTTGGTGATTACAGTTCAGCCAAGTATTTATTTTTTGAATGGATTACAAAGAACTTTGATTGTCAAGAAGTGCATATTGGTATGAAAGCTATTCAACCAAGTGTTTTTCAGGCAATTTGGCCCACAAGTGTGTTTTGTTGACAGTTTCTCTGTGCTAGAGAAAGAAGAACAATACAATGCAAAGAACTAACCAAAATATAACAACACAGCAGTTGAAAATATAAATCGGTTTCACAACGATATCTGTCTCTCGATCCTATATTTCATTATCTACGCATTTTCTAGGTCTTCCTTTTTTCATTTGGGCTCCACTATAGGATTCGTTTTGGTACTCTACCATTTCCCATTAGTTGTACATGCCCGTACCATACCAGTGGTTCTGTTCTTATGTCGTCCATGTTCCTATTGTTCGTCGATTTTTAACTGACACTTTTCATATGAGGAGCGAGGGGGTTTTTCATATGGCAAAAACAGGTGTGACATCAGGTAACCATTGGAGTTCTAATGTAGAGTGCCACCAGCTCACATTCCGTCCGAGTATCAGATTAAAATCGACGAACCATACGTTCTTCAACTGTCATTATTTCCCTGTAAATTCTTTAAGGTTCAGGCTTATAGTTCATTACAACAACGCGAGATGTCAATGCTGTCGCCCCTATAGTGTGCCCTAACTTGACTGTCAAAAAAAATAGAAATCTTCATTTGGTTAAATTGTGTGATGGAACTTTTTTTTCTTTTTTTGGCGGAAATTCGAAGTATTATTTTGTTTTACATAAACAGGGTTGTAGTTTCGACCACCGCAAATAATTTTGAACGTTCATCCGTCGGATTTTTTTCTAAACAGTGCAGCTACGGGCGTATTTCCAACTATTTTTGCAGTAGCGAGAAAACTACAAGTTCAAAAAATTTGAAAAAAATATATGTTGCGTAGAATTGACGTTTTCAATTAAAAGAGATGGACAATAAAGTATGAAAACAATCATTTTCCCGCCAACATTTGCTTGCTTGTCAATGCCAGTGTGTATTGGGTGTTTTGAAAGAAATTCTGGGAAAAGTTACTACTTCATTTGCAGAACTTCGCTATAGAGAAAGCGGTGAATTATTTTGGAAGCAAACAGCTCCCGCAAACTAAACTTGAACATGGATTACTTTGTATACTTGATGGGCCGTGGATTCCCTTTTTTTTTGCGAGTATTCTTTCTGATTTTATGTATCCAAAATTTGACAAATGTAGGATTTGATGGAAACTTATGGAAAGACACGTCCGCCGGTAAATAGGAATTATTTTTACAAAAAGGCACACTACACAATCACCATTGTTAGGAAAAAACTTTGAAAAAACTTTGAAAAAACCGAGGAAATAATAGTTTCCAGTTTCCACATGTACAAAAGTCTTGTCAACAAACCACTGTCAGCGGCTGTCAACCATTGTTTTCATACTCTTTTGGCGTCTGACAGTTTGACGCCAGAGAGAGAAGCTTTTAAATTGAAAAGGTCAATTGCAATAGTAGTTCGTAATTAAAATAATGGGAAACTTCATCTACTCGTTTTGAAATAAATGGTGAAAAACTAATTTTTTTTCAGTTTTTGCGATGTAACTCAAAAATGGCGAGTCAAATTTGCTTAAAAAAATTATGGATTAAAGTATATCGATAACCATAAAGCATATATTTTTTTTGGAATTTTTGAACACATGGTTCAGAAAATAGGGGTTGACTGTAAACCTTAATATGTAATCCTCATTATTAACGCAGTCAACGTTTACTCAAGGACACGATTATCGACGACCCAGTGCTTACCCAAAATGCGACTTAGCCACACTTGCCTGCGGTCGTGCGACTAATGAGCATGAAATTGGTCAAAAGTGGCAACGTTCATGTACCGTTAAAAAGTGTAGATTGTAGATTGCATTTGGAGTCATCACAGCTTATTCCAGTCGCTCAAACACTATTACCTTTCCAGATAATTTTGTGCGTCACTCTGGTTCAAGTTGGTATCCAAGAATTGTAGGCTTCTCTCAAAGGAAGTCAGCTTCCTAGATGATAAAGTGCCCACCTACCTCAAGGTATTTAGGCTTTTTGCAGTAGTGAGCAGGATATTCACAGATCAAATGTTCTGTAGTTTCTGTTGCTTGTTCGCAAGATCTGCAGTGGTCGTTGTGAGATTTGCCTCTCATTTTTACGTAATGTTTTACCAGGCAGTGCCCAGTGAGCAGACCAATGACTGTTCTGAAGTATCTTTTGTTCATGTCAGAAGTTGTCATCTGTTTACTGAGATGGATATCAACCTTCTTTCACGTCAAACCCGGAATGGGTCTCCAATGAGCTAACATTCGAAGACGTGGCATTTCATTAGTCCACAAAAAGTCTCTGGGCCTTGAAAAGGTGTTACAGCGAGACGGTCTACTGTCTCCTCTATGTAGTAAATATGCTTTATTGTCCTATGCCCTGGTGTCCTGGCACCCACATTAGGATGTGTGTTTCTTCCAGGCATTTGCTTAAGGTTTAAAGTCAACCCCTATTTTCTGAACCTTGCGTTCAAAAATTCCAAAAAAATAGTTTTTTTTATACAAGACGATAAAATGGTAGTTTATCGTTGACCGGAATAGTTAATTCACGAGCGGAATCGCGAGTGAATTAATTCCGAGAGACGATAATGGCATTTTATCGTCGTGTGTAAAACAAAGTTTTTTTTTCATAGCCTAATTATGGACACCTGTAGTATCAAAAATATTTAGAAATTCTTTGAGTCGAACACTTTTGCATAAGTAGAAATTCGTTTGACAAATACATAAAAAACAAAATATGTATATATTTTTGACAAAATAATAGTATATTGTTGTATTAGGAGTAGAAGCTTTACTTTTTTGTGCTGAAGCAGTAGGTTTGCGAGCCGAACGTAGTGAGGCTTGCAATACTGCTGAAACTATTTCACACGCTTTTTTTTCTCCAACACGCTATTTTTTCTCCAAACTAATAGGGTAAGCTCGGGGGTAAGTGGATGGTTGAGCGGCAGTAAAAGTACGAGCGGCACTAAAAGTACTTTTGCTGTCGCTAGGGTTGCCAAGCAGCATAGAAATTGAACTTCTACCACCTCGACAGGTGTTAACCCGCTGGATTTACCTAGCAGCATAGAAATTAAATTTCTGACATTTTGACAGGGGTTAACAAAGTGACGTTTTTTTGACGTTTGGAGAAAAACGTCTTTATCTATCCTTGCTGTTAAAGTAACATTTAATCTACCCTTGCGGTTAAAGTACTACCTTATCTACTATTTTTAGTGGATTAAAGGCTACTTTATCAGTAGCTATAGAAAAAATATATGTTTCGCCTGACGGCTCGTGATTTTGTCAAAAATGTCTTTCGTGAAATTGCCAAGCAACAAACTTGAATAAAGCCTTGAGAACAATTTTGCCTACACAATTTTTTCTCGAGTGGTATTCGTCACGACTATTTCACGTAAGATTTTGAAAATAAATAGAATGCAAAAATATGAATAAAAACTTCAAACTAAAAATACCAGTTTGACAATGACAATAGATGTAGTTTTTTATAATTCACTGACAAATCCCATATAGTGGAGTTCCCTCGTACGAAATTTTGGAAGAAAACGC